GGACCGGGCGGAGCCGGGTATGCCAGCTAGTTTGTAATATAATGAAATTATCACAAATTCACCGCACATCCAGTAATCTGCATTTTATTTCGAATAACACTTCGATGCTCGAAAAAATTCAAACACTGAGGTAAGCCGCTCTAGAAACTTTTTGACTTAGGTTACATTATGCCATAACATCAGTGACTAAATTATTCGTGATCGTTTGACTTTCATAGTTCTTTTTAGTTTTATGAATCTCCATAGAGCACAGATAGAGAAGCAAAAAGTCCCATTCTGTGCTTTGCAATGCAGTTCTCACCTATGCCCTTCTGAAGTAAAAAGTAAAAAATGGCATTTGTATGCGACAAACATATTCCTATCTGACAAGATCTCTGTTAATCAGCACATTTTATCCATCATATGCTGAAGAAAACTTTCGAACGCAGGATTGCTAAGATTACTACCGATCATAGCCAAAACTCATTGCCTTGCAATGTCTCATATTTTTTTTCGTTTACCAGCCCTCGTCGGAAAGTACTCGACAGCTCTCGTTCCTGTTGCCCACTGACAATTTCTACATTGCAAGATAATAAATTTTTCATGTTTTCCCTAAAGGGCTTTAAAAGTTCTGCGTAGCGCCTATGTCGAACTGAACTCACCGCATGCCCAGATATCGACTGGTTTGCCATATGGGTCCTTCTTCAGCACTTCCGGAGAGAGGTAACCGGGCGTGCCAGCAAATCCGAACCATGCTTCAGTGTCTTGACCCACTTCGATGGCCAAGCCAAAATCAGCCAATTTTACTGCAGCGCCCTTTGCTTTACTGGCAAGGAGTAGATTCTCCGGCTGAATAGCAAAGTTCAGATGGATAGAGTGGAGACAGTAAAGAGGAACCCAAGCAAAGCATAGCGGAAAGACAGTAGTGCATATCATGACCATAGCTACTATCACTCATCCAGCAAGTAATTATAATTCGCTTGACTTAATACAGGTGTAAGCAAATTTTCCATAAACACTTCACAAAGAGCTCGGAGAAGGCATTTGGTCAAAATCACCCATCAAAATCACAGAATAAACTCGTTTGGTATTGACGTATGCGTACCTTCAAGTCCCTGTGCACAATGCAGTTTTGATGGCAGTAAGCGATTGATTCGAGAATTTGCTGGATGCAGTGACTGAAACGGCACACAAAGGGTTAGTAGAACTAAAAGCAACCGAAGATACACTAATCCCATTGAAAATGCATATGGGCCGAAAAACAACCGTCTATCGTACGCATGAAGGTGGAGGTAGAAATAATAAATGCATTGTCTTACGAAGTAGCCAGGGCACCAAAAGATGATAGAAAGATCATGATGAAACTAGAGTATTTGCTCTATATTCCCCGCTCATGCAAAAAAGAACTAGTAAAGCAACCATTTCACTATTCAAGAACAAAGAAGCGCATTAACCTTGAGATTTTGATAAGAACTCTCATTGTGGGATGAAACTGTGCCGCTATGAATCTATGAAAATCCCTATAATTTATTTCAAAAACTGAGAAAGAATTAGGTCCCAGATATTTACTGATAAAAATGACAAAACAGCAATAGCAATTGCTTATGAGATGAATAACTTCTATATAAAGCATTTCTCTTCTCGCGAAAGTGTTCTTATGGAGAAGCATTTGTTCTACAACCCATGCACTTATGTTATACATAGTATTAGCTTATGATTCGTGAAAACTAAGAAACACCGATGGACAGATAATCACACTTGAAAATCCATTAGCTGATAAGTAAAAGCTCTATACAAAGCAGACAGCAGTCTACTATATATTGATTCCAAACCTTCATATCTCTATGAACAACACCGCGTTGATGACAGTAATTAACTCCTTCAAGGATTTGCCAAATACAATAACTAAAAAGAAGAACAATTATTATTTTTTT